GGAGGGGTGGGACCTCAGACAGGTAGAATGCCATAGACTCCACCCTCCAAACCAGCCATTTTGTCCTGGGTAACAATTGTTGCCAATCTCCAGGTGAGGGCTACAGATCACTCAAAATTACAACTGCTCTTCAGGTAGCAGAGATCAGTTCCTCTGGAGAAAACAGTGGACTCTTTCATTATACTCTGCTGAGGTCACCACAGCAAACTGTTTGCCCAAAGCCAGAGCACTCCCCCAGAGCCTCTTTCTAGATCTTGTTGTATTTATTTCCACAACGGGCCTTATTCCTAGCCCTGGGCCTGCTATGCAGGCAGTGCAGGATATAAATCCAAATAAATAAATAACAAGATAAGTATTGATTATTGAAGCTGCAGCTGGTGCAAAATGCGGTGGCCAGGCTGTTGATGGGTCTCCCTACGTGGGAGCACATCCAGCCTGTGCTAAAGATACTGCACTGGCTGCCAATAGCATACCGGATTCATTTCAAGGTGCTGGTTTTGACCTTTAAAGCCCTTTATGTGCTGGTTTTGACTTTTTAAGCCCTTTATAGCCAGGGGCCTGCCTATCTGCCCCGCATGTTCCCCAGAGAGCACTGCGATCAGGGTCACAAAACCGCTTGGCCCTCCCTGGTCCCAAGGATGCCAGATTGACATCGACCAGGACTAGGGCATTCTCTTCGGCAGCTCCGGCGTATTGGAATGAGCTCCCCGGTGAGATCAGGGCCCTGTGGGACCTGGGACAGTTCCGCAGGGCCGTGAAAACGGAGATTTTCCGGCAGGAATTCAAACTTCTCAACTACGCCCTGTGCTGACTTACTTCCAGCCGAAGCTACCTAGAGTGGATGCACCGCTGAACGTGCTCTTAAACGCACTTTACTATATCTGGATCGCCATTGACATATTAACGGTCTAAACTGTTTATTGTGTATTTTATACTGAGATGTATTTTGTATTTGTTGGGTGTTATGTAAGCCGCCCTGAGCCTGCCTCGGCGGGGAGGGCGGGGTAAAAGTTTAAATATTAAATAAATAAATAAATATTATCAATTTTTTCCATACTGATCACTCCTCAAACTATTTTTATTCAGAATGTTTCAAACTCTCCTGCCTTCTTTGGAGTGAATGCAATATGTAATAGATAAAATACGTAAGTCTTTGCCTTTGCTGTCATCTGCTGGACAAGATTGAAACAAGACTAAAATTGGTAAAATTGTAAGTCCAACAGATAAACTAACTGCAAATTTTCAGCTAAGACTGCTTTTGTTGTTAAGTGGCACAGTC